CTTAACTATTTTAAAGTAAATATAAAAATTGGTATAATATAAATATTATACAGGGTTTCCCGAAATTCGCGAATCAAAATATTATAGTAAGAAAGTCTGCGAGAAATTAAATAAAAAAGTTATTTGTAACTTTTTATTTTAAGCAATATAGTTTTTGAGATATAAGGGGTTAAATTTAACCAATTAATACTCGCGTGAAGTGCGCGACTACTAACATTACGATACGCTCACATGTTTTCGTTTAATTGTAATCTATAATTGGCTAAATAAACTCTTATATCTCAAAAACTACTGTTTAAATTAAAAATTTACAAATAACTTTTTTACTTAATTTTTTGAAGACTTTCTTGCTCTGATATTTTATGATTCGCGAATTTCGGGATATCCTGTATAAACGTATACAGGATAACGTACTTAAATATTCTGAGTAATATACAAACCACAGAATAATCACAAATAATAAATCCACAAACATGTTGACGAGATAATGATAATTTGTGATATAAGTTAATATAATGATCAAATATCCATGATTTTTTCCTTTTGATATGTAAAACCAACATATTATGTCGGATATATTTCCCACATGACAACATATTAACCATCCAATTAATAGCCCTTTTGTACGCATGTGCAAATCGCGATATAGCTTTGGTGTACCTAATTCTTCCAATGTATTATCCACAGCAATAAGCCTTTTGATAAATATCTGAAATCTCTGAACATAACATTATATAGACAACAATATGTCTATTCTTTTACAAGGTAATTGCGCAAAAATTATTTAAAATTTAATATTTTTTATTTAAAATGCTATATTTTGGCTATTTGTTATATTAAATTAATTAATCTAAATTAATATAAAATATTAAATACATTTATATACCTTATTTAAATATATATTTACGATAACACATGTGATGCTGGTAAGAGTGCCAAACTGTACGTCGATTATAGCCTCGACTGTTCGAAAAAATGTGTCTGCCTTAAGTATAGTCACGATATAGTAAAAAAGGCAGCCATAAGTGATCCATATTGTCAGACTATAGAAAATACTTAAATAAGGTTTCTTCGAGGAGTAAACTCCTAAACCGAGCAGAGAAGAAGTTAGAATTAGTGGACGTATAGCCTGTTCTATGGTAGTCACCATTGTTATTACTACCGTTGCTTCTGTCGTAAACTGACATCGTACATCAATTCGAAGCTGATCCAAGCCTCATTTAGCAGCTGCGTAAACTTAATAAGTTGGTAGAGTATGTAGTATATTAAGGAATTAATTCATTAGTGTTATGAATAATGCTTATAATTATATGGCGACTTACATGTATAATTCCTTTGTAAACGTAACATAATCGATCAAGATGTCATCAGACATCAACTGACATAAGCTTTTAGCTTAGCGCAAATAACTTACGATCAGTTAAAATGTTTTCATATTATAATTGTATGACAAGTGCCAATTAAGCAGACATTATGATCGTCCGGGAACTGATGCGTCGTGATGATCTATGAACTAAATGTCACTGAATATTAATGAGCATTTATCAGTGATACATCATACATGTCAAAAAGATGAAATATGCATAGTTAAAATATATTTTATTCATAAACAAATATAAAGTTACAGCTTTTTACATGCGGAGTAGTATCTGGAATAACACACTTTCCTGAAAAAGGTAATAACACTACTTTTAGGCTTTTTCTAGAAAATCAAAATTAAAATTTCCAAGCATCTAATAAATAAATTTTACAGGAAATATAACTCAGATAATACAGAGCTCAAAGTCGGGTCATAAGATGTCCGAAAGACGTCTATTAGATGTCTAACAAATGTCTTTTAGACGTCTTATATGATTTCTAATTTTGAACTTTGTATTGTCTGGGTAAGAGAAGAAAATAGTGATGTTAATCATTTTCATAAATTATATATTTGCAAAAAAATTATTGCTACATCTAATAAAAACAAAATTTTTGAGTGATTGGAAGGTGGTTGAAATAGTTATTAATATCAATCATCGACGACATTGATGTCTAACAGATGTCTCTCCAAACTATCATTTCTCAATCGGACACATCTCTTTCGAAACATGTTTCATTAAATCCACCGGATTTTAATATTTTGGACATGGGAGAAGTATCCATTTGCATTACAAAAATAATAACGGTAAGAACCGAGATAAAGAACTAGAAAAAGAAAACTTATTTAAATATATGTAATATAAATATCGCTATTTTAACTCTTCTTATTTACTTATTTTAAATCCGAAATTATTACATTAAACTTATATGGTAGTGAACGATATAAAAGACTAACCTTATGAATAAATCTGTAGCCAAATTGAAACATGCCCATTCCATTGAACTTCAACGGCCGAAGTGATATTTGCAAAAGGAACTGATAAATCTGTATTATAATATAATTCTTATTTTAAGATACTCTCTTACATAAAAATGCTAAAAAGTAGAATTTAGTTTAAATGTTAAATTAAAAGTTAGAATTTTAAAAAGTATTAGAACATTTATTTTACCTCTCTACGAGTTTCTGTAAAACGTAAAAGATTTGTCAATTTGTGTATCAAGGTTTTAGTCTTTTGCACCTGAAATCACATAAAATTAATTTTTTACGTTATTCATGATTTATAATAATTGTATGATTTTAAATAATTGTATAGACCGCGCCGCGTCTATATAATTTATTTTTAAGAAAAGGTTTATTTAATATTTTATTTTGAAACCGAAAAAACATTTATTTTTATCAGTAAGAATTAAAGGGCTATGAGCTAAAACAGGATGTTATATGCTCCAAATAACTTAATTATTAAATAACTTTAATTAAAAAATATAGTAAACAAACGTTTCAATCCAAATAGGATCATTTTCAATGTTAAAACGCAAATTAATAATACATAGTTAAAACCAATATTCGGTCATCGTAACGACCTAACCATATAAAATTTATATAGATTATATAGATTTATTTTTACAATATTCTTTTTATCAATTTTATCAATTTATTAAAAAAAATTGAGCCATCTTGTACAGAAACATTAGTTCCAAAATCGGATAGAAAGGGATCGTGAAAATGAGCCTTTCCATCGGGCTAAGGATCATTAAAGAACGTCTTTGCACGTGTGTGTGTGTGTGTGTGCGTGTGTGTGTGC